CGGGCTCTGGGCTGATGGCTCAGAGCCTGGAGCCTGTTTCCCATTCTGTGTCTCCCTCTCTCTCTGCCTCTCCCCCGTTCATGCTCTGTCTCTCTCTGTCGCAAAAATAAATAAAGGTTGAAAAAAAAAATTTAAAAAAAAAATAAATAAATAAATAAATAAAATTAAATTAAATTAAATTAAATTAAATTAAATTAAAAAAAAAATTAGAAAAAAGAAAAGGCAGAAACTACACAGGCCACACCCTCTCCCTGCACTGCAGCAAAATTAGTTGAAATGTTCAACAAAATCACCAGGCACTTGGAAGGTGAGGCACCTTTAAGAATATTCAGGCGCAGAGACTGTGGGAGAGGAAAAAGAGAAAAGAGGATTTGGTGTGTTTATAATGTGTTTGCACTAAGCAAAGAACCATTTAGTTAATTAATTTTTTACAATGCTTATTTATTTATTTTGAGAGAGAGAGAGAGAGAGAGCGTGTGCATGAACAGGGACAAGAGGAGAGGATTCCAAGCAGGCTTTGTGCTGTCAGCAGAGAGCCCCATGAGGGGCTTGATCCCATGAACCGTGAGATCATGACCTGAGCCGAAATCAGGAGTCAGACCTTTAGCCGACAGAGCCACGCAGGCACCCCAACATTTTTTTTTTTTATTTTTAAGGACTACTGAAAGAATATTTGTCATAGGTACACATTTGCTCATTGCATGCAGGAAAGAGATCACCGGTTGACCAGCAACCAAACAGTAAGATGTTTCGGCAAAAATGGTTTCTCTCTCCAGACTCCCCAGAATCATCTTTTAGGATGAGGAGGACAATCTCCAACTTTCTTTTTTGTATTCTGGCATAAAAAATCAGCTTCACGAGCAGATCTATGGTTGTTTTGCTCAATACTGAACGCATTAGCCCATAGCAGCTACTCAGTAAATATCTGTGGAATGAATAATATATACATATTACACACCATAATATATAGACACACACACATTAAGGGACTGGCTAAACAGTGGCTGTACCTAAGCACAATGGAATAGTATACGGACGTTCAAAATGATGAAGCAGAAACATTTATTTCACACGGCAAGATCTCTCCTCGCCCAATAGTCAATGAAACGGAAGCCGACGACAAAATGGTTTCTATCGAAGAAACACGCCTTTCCTCTCCTCTCAGTCTCTCTCGCTCACGCACAACGTTTAAAAATCTGCTTACGAGCCTGACAGACATGAGCCGGTAAAAACTATTTCACGATTATGGGACGTCTCTCAGTATATGTCTAAGATCTGAGAAAAGAGAAAGGCATTTTCTCAACTGTGGGTGAACCTGCTTTTGCTTCAGAGTTGCACAGGAAGAATCGTGTCTGCTCCCGGCTGTGCCCGTCCTGCGTGATGACGGTTCCAGGCCGGAGCCCCCACCGCAGCAAGCTACCTGCCTGATATTCAAAGCACCCTGAACACGGCAAGGAGCCAGCACGTTTGGGGTTCAGTACTCGTCAGCACCTGTCACCGCACAGTCTGTCAAGGAATAACATTTCTTAACAGTTCCACCGACCGGTTTCATATCACATGGGACCGAGCTGCTATAAAGGAATGAAACTCCCAGTGAAACAAACCCAAGAACCGGCAACTGAGCACGGCCCACATTTATCTTACTTGCAAAGCGCGGAAAACATACCCCCAACTTTGCACCACTGAGTAATAATTAACCCCCGGATGGCCAGCGTGTAGGGCAACCAGAAGTAAACACTTAAACATGTCGGTCTGGAAACACGAGCCAATCAAACCTTCTATTTACCTGTGATGACAGCGTCTTAGTGCTGAGCCTGGGTCACCAGGAGCGGTTCCTCCAGGGAGGCAGAGCCTTTGAAGGCAGCCTCGGCAGCAAGAAGGTAAAGGAGGAAATGATGACGATGTGTCCTCTGGATTCTCCCCAACTCTCCACCACCTTGGAAGAGGAAAGTCACCGTGACCCTACTCGGGCGGCAGTGGAAAACCCTGTGCCCCCCGCCCCGCGCGCCCTTTCCCAGGCGGCCCCGGGAGAGGAGGGGGGCTCCCCGGTTTGGGGAGGCGAGCGGGGGGGAGCCCGGGCTGGGGTGGGCGTGCAGCCCCGAAGGGCCCGGGGCGCCCCGCCAAATCCTAGACGTTACACCACCGTGGACTTTTCTTAGAGAGACGTTTGACACTGACATTGGGGCACGCCGTGCCTCCTTTCAACTTAAGAAGGCGAGGAAAGCACGGGCACGCAGTCGGCCGTCCCGGGTCGGCGTGGGGACAGAGCCCGGCTTCCGGCCCGCACCCCCTCCCCCCGGGGCCGCGCGGCCGGGACGCGGGGAGACCCGGGCGCGGAAGCGGCGCGCCGGTCCCGCAGGGCCGGGCTCGGGAGAAACGTGGCGCGGCGCCGCTGCCCTGGGCTCGTCCCGACCGGCCGGGGCGCCGCCTGCGCCGGGGCGCAAAGTGCGGCAGCGACTCCAAGCCGCTCCGCGGGCGAGTTTCTCCGGTCCGCCCGCAGCCGCCGGGCGCGCCGCCTCGGGGGTCCCGGTGTCCCGGCCTGCGGCTACCCAGCCCCGGGGAACCCGGGGGCCTCGGGTGACGCCCCCAGTCGGTGACGCCCCAGCTCGACAGCGCCGAGGGAAGGGCGCGCCCGCGGCCCCCGCCCGGGGGGCCTTCCCTCCCGCGGGACAACCTGTGGACACGGCGTCTCCGGGGCCCCGGGCGCTCG